CTGCTGTTTGCCGTCTCCCCCTCGTTCCTCCTCCTCCTCCTCCTTCCCTTCCTGCTCATCCGCAACATCTTCGTCGTCGTCCTCCTCCTCCTCTTCAAAAATAAACGCAGCTCCCCTTTCTCCGATTGCGCATAACACGATGGGGTCCTTGCTGGAGCTCCAGGTCCGCCATGACAGGCGTCGGCGGATGGAGAAAACAGCCACGCAGTGGAAGGGGATCGAGGGGGAGAGGTAGGACGCCAGATCTGACGTGAGCGCGCACCCAGTTTGCCGTCCTTTCTTGTCCTCTCCTCCCTCTAGGTTGCCTCTTCCTCCTTTCGCGTCTCGTCCTGGTATTCTTTTTCGTGGCCAGCTTCCGCCTGACCTTCCTCATGCACCGCCGCAATTATTCCTCCCGCTCCTAGTCCCGCCGCTACCCTCCCTTCCACTCTTACATCTAGATCCGCCCCTTTTCCTACGTACTTCTACTCCTGCCCATCATTGTTTTTTCTTGGGGTATCTGCTCTCGATCTCCTACCTGGGGCACTGAACCGCCACCGCGCTTGCAGCGGCGAGTGTGCGTCGGGTCCTTATGACGGCAACACCAATCTACTCTCCCTCTGGGACCTCGCCCCCTGCTCCAGTCCATGGCATACCTTGTCCTGTGCAAGATCTTCGGCACCGCCTGTACTCTGAGCCCTCCGGCCGCCTGAGGCCCTGCCCGCCAGCGCCCTGTCTCCCCAATTAGGGCTACTCGCGCCCCGTTTAGCTCTTGACAGGAAGGGGCCCGCTCCCGACCCGCAGACCCCCCTCCCCAAAAAAGAGTGTGCGCCAGGTCCTTGACATTTCGTCATCCTCGCTGCGCTTCGTGCGAAGCACCACGTCGGCCCCACCCCACGCGCGTGCGCTCGCTTTTTCTCGCAGGCTCGGGCGCGGGACGCCCCTCCGAACGCCCTGGCACACTCGGCAATGGGTGCCCTACAGGGGGATTGCTCGGCGGCCCGGCGGGGGGGGGAGAAGAAGAAGAAGACGATCAAGGGGCCCAAGGACACACAAATAAATACACACGAATAAGATGATTCCCCATATTTTCCATATTTTCTGGGTTTTTGTCTTCCCGCCCAATTCCCACATTTTCCCACACTTTCCTGGGAGTCGACGATTAATTGTGTCTGTGTGTTTTTTCCCTCCTGAGTGGAAGAAGAAGAAGAAGAAAAAGAAAAAGAAGAAGAAGAAAAAGAAGAAGAGGAAGAAGAAGAATCTGTGGGATGAGGGGCACGCCTTCTCAGAAGGCGGCGGGGCCTCGGAGGAAGCCCGGGAGAGCTCCCGAGAAGGCGGGAGGCCTTCGGAGCCTTCCGCGAGACAAGGCCCACCCCCCTCGGCCTTCCCTGGGGGCACCAAAAGGTACCGATACCGCTCCTCCCCGGAACTCTCCCGGGGCGCGTTCGGACCCGGACTTCGAGGCGAATCCGGCGGCGGCGGCGAGGGAGGCCCAGGAGGCCCAAGGAGGGGAAAGGGAACACGAGGGGAGGGCAGTGGCAGGGGTGCCTCTGCCTCCTCGGAGCTCTGGCGTCCCCCCGCGGAGCGCGCCGTCAGGCTGCAGCCCGCACCGACTTCAAAGACCTGCCGCGCCGCGTCCCCGAGAGCGACGCGCCAAGCGCGGCGGCGCCCGGCGGGAGGAGGGCCGGGGAGGCCGGCGGCACGCCTTGGCGCGCCTGGCGCTCCGCTGGGGGCGCGCCGTCGGCGCTGGCCTAATGCAAGATGGCGATTCGGAAACAGGAGTGCGAGAATTGTTCTCCTCCTCCTCCTCCTCCTCCTCCTCCTCCATCCTCCTCCCTCCTCCTCCTCCTCCTCCTCCTCTCCTCCCTCCTCCCTCCTCCTCCTCCTCCTCCTCCTCCTCCTCCTCCTCCTCCTCCTCCTCCTCCTCCTCCTCCTCCTCCTCCTCCTCCTCCTCCTCCTCCTCCTCCTCCTCCTCCTCCTCCTCCTCCTCTCCTCCTCCCTCCTCCTCATCCTCCTCCTCCTCCTCTCCTCCTCCTCCTCCTCCTCTCCTACTCCTCCTCCTCCTCCTCCCCTCCTCCTCCTCCTCCCTCCTCCTCCTCCTCCTCCTCGCTCCTCCTCCTCCTCCTCCTCCCCTGTCCTCCTCCTCCGCCTCCTCCTACTCCTCCTCCTCCTCCTCTCCTCCTGCCTCCTCCTCCTCCTCCTCTCCTCTCCTCATCTCCTCCTACCTCCTCCTCCTCCTCACTCCTCCTCCTACTCCCTCCTCCTACCTCCGCCTCCTCCTCCTCCTCTCCTCCTCCTCCATCCTCCTCCGCCTCCTCCTCCTCCTCCGCCTCCTCCTCTTTCTCCCCTCCTCCTCCTCCTCATCTTCATCCACTCGCAGCAGCATCATCCCTTCTTCTTCCTCCTCTCCGCCTTCTCCTCCTCCCCTCCTTCTCCTCCTCCTCCTCCTCCTCCTCCTCCTCCTCCTCTCCTCCTCCTCCTGCCTCCTCCTCCTACTCCTCGCCTCCTCCTCCTCCTCCCTCTCTCCTCCTCCTCCTCCTCCTCCTCCTCCTCCTCCTCCTCCTCCTCCTCCTCCTCCTCCTTATCCTCCGCATCCTCTGTGAGGGGAGCGGCTGACAGCATAAATTCCGAACCTTCGGCTTCCGCTCCGCTTCGGCTTCGCCTGGCCCGTCGTGTGCAGGCGCGCGCCCGAGGAGGGCGAGGGGGAACGATCAGAAAGCATCTTCCTGGCCTTTCTGAACATCATCCCGCCGCCGCGTGAACACGATCCCCGATAATTTCATTTTCCTAATCATCCTGCAGTAAAAGGCAGGTGCCAATTTCGGAGGCTTGGAAATGGGCATCAACACCGACATAAAAGGTGTTTGCCTTCACAGGTGGAAGATGACATTAGAGTTTGGTGCTGGTGGTAATGTTTCGGTAACACCTCGGAAGCTCGAATCTTCCCAACATCATGGAGATCGGGATCTTCTTCCATCGGTGGAGGCGCCGATGGTGGTGTTGGTGCCAACCTTCAGGCCTTCGGCAACTGGCGGCGCGCACAAGCGGGTGCCACGAATGGGGGCTGCCTTCGAAGAAGACGGGGTGCTTCTTAGAAGGTAAGAGGCTTCTTGAAGCCATCCTGGCTTCTGAGAAGCCTTCCTCAAAAGCCTCCAGCCCGTGGCCCCCGCCTTCCAGGAAGCACCCCGCCTTCTTGAAGGCCCCCCCCTCGCGCTACCCCCCTGTGCGCGCCGCCAAATCCAAAGGCGCGCCGCCATCGGCCCGCCTTGAGGCCGAGGGCGGCCCCTCCGCTGGCAGCGGGGAGACAGTGCATTTTCGTGGTCATCAGCCTCCCACATGGCGTCCGAGTCGATGGGGTCAGGGGATCGCATCGCGCCGCATCGTCGATGCATCGCCGATGCATCCGCGATACGTCGGCGACGTCGGCGATGAATCGACGACGTCTGCGTGGAGAAAACTGGGCTCCACATCGAGCCGCATCGCCGATGCATCGGCAGTGCGGCGCGATCTGGCGATCCCACCTGCTCCGACCCCCTCTGGGAGGCCAATAGAGCCTAGAGTGGCGCGCGCGCGCGGAAGAATGAGCTGTGCCTGGCGCTTCCGTGGGACGCTCTTCGGCGGCGGCTCAGCCGACCGCCTTCGGCTGCGCCAGCCCGGCGACGCCGGTGGCCACGGGTGAGCCTGGGCAGGCGGCCCCCGCGACGACCTCCTGGTGCCCGCTGGGCCGGTATCTCGCGGGCGGCCGCGCCAGCCCGGCTGGTCGAGCCTGCTGCACGCTGCGCACCTGCATCGGCTGCAGCCTCACTGCCGCGTGGCCGGCGCCCGGCTTGGCGAAGGGATCCTTGGGAGGAGCGGCGACCAGGGAGGCCAAGCCGTAGAAGCTCCCGCCGTCGCGGCTGACCATCGGGGAACAACGAATGGCACGAGCACAAGCTTTGGGAGGCACGCGCGGATTCCTGGCATCGGCGCTGGGCCCCACACCCTGGCGCGCGGAGCGCGCCAGTGGCGGTGCCAGAGGCGCCGTCAGGGGGCTCCGGCGTCGACCCGAGAACTCCGTGCGGACCTCCTAACGCTCGTGCGGAAGATCTTCTGCCATGGCCTGCTCCCCGAGCCCAGACCCCCGACGTCATGATTTTTTCATTGCGTCGACCCCCAGAGGTCCCGACCCTTTCCCCATGGCCGGCTTTGCATCCTAAGTCTTATGTTGTTCCCATCCTGCTTAAAGACCGCATCCCAGAAATAATTTCGAGCACCCGGAAAAATGTAAAAAAAGTGTCGAAACAGTGCCGGGCGAGTGTCTCCCAGGGCCCGACACGTGAAAACCCTCGAGTTTCGGCACTTTTTTGGCGCTCGAAACTCTTTCTGGTGATCAAGGCTAAATAAAGGCTGGAACATCATGACCCCAGACGTCCCGACCCTTTCCCCATGACCGGCTCTGCATCCGGAGTCGCTCCTTGACGCTCCCGAGGCCCGGGCCCCCGGAGGCCGAAAATTCGGACGCACCTATCCCGCCGTGATTCTTCTTCATGACTCGCTGGGGGTCTGGGGAGATCAGGAAGCTCCCAGCCCTGCTGGACTATAGGAGGAGGAGGAGGAGGAGGAGGAGGAGGAGGAGGAGGAGGAGGAGGAGGAGGAGGAGGAGGAGGAGGAGGAGGAGGAGGGAGGGGAGGAGAAGGAGGAGGAGGAGGAGGAGCGCACGTCACCAGGGGGGGGCGGGTCAGACTACAATCTATCCCGCCGTGATTCTTCTTCATGACTCGCTGGGGGTCTGGGGAGATCAGGAAGCTCCCGCCCTCGCACGTGCCCAGGGAGCCGCCGGCGCTGCCGGGCGCGGCCCGCACCGCGGGGACCTCGCGCCGCTCGAGCGCCTGGGCCTCTGTCGGGCGGGCCCCCCCTGCAGAGGGATTCTCCACGGAAGACAAAGAATACCCCCACAAAATACCCCAAGAAAGTCAAAAAATAGCCAAAAAAAGGTCCCCAGACTATTTTTGCACTATTTGTTATTATGTTTGGGGTATTTTTTAATCTCGTCGAAAATCCCCCTGTAGGGTGATTTTCGACGGACCAAAAAAAAATACCCCCACAAAATACTCCAAGAAGGTCCAACAATAATTCACAACATAGTCCCCAGACTATTTTTGGATGATTTGTTCTTTCCTATGTTTGGGGTATTTGTTCCGTCGAAAATCCTCCAGTAGGGGGATTTCTCGACGGACAGAAAAAATACCCCCAAAAAATACGCCAAGAAGGTCCCCAAATAGCCAAAACATAGTCCCCCGACTAGTTTTGCATTATTTTGTTTTACTATGTTTGGGGTATTTCTTTTTTTCCGTCGAAAATCCCCCTGTAGGGGGATTTTCGACGGAAAAAAGATACCTCCAGAAATACCCCAAGAAGGTCCAAAAATAGTCAAAAGATAGTCCAACGACTATTTTTGCATTCTTTTTTAAAACTATGTTTGGGGTATATATTTTCTTTCGTCGAAAATCCCCCCTGTAGGGGGACAGGCCCGACTTAAGCCTGACTGCCTACCAGACCACCCCAACCCAACCCGAAGACCCTGATTTGACCCGAATCTCGGGTTGGGGGGGGGGTACGGGTTCCATATGTCTTTTCAATGCTCCCCGACCCCCCCCACTGGAAATCGAGGATAAATTTGGGCCTTCGGGTTGGGCTGGTTGGGCGCCCGAGTTATCCGGGGTAACTCGGGTCCGGGGAAACTCGGGTTTGGATTTCAGAAAAGGGAACCCGAGTTAGCCCTGACCCGAATTAACCCTGATGATGTGGGGCTCTGGACGCCCGAATTATCCGGGGTAACTCGGGTCCGGGGTAACTCGGGTTTGGATTCCCGAAAAACGAACCCGAGTTATCCCTGACCCGAGTTACCCCTGATGATTCGGGGCTCTGAGCTGGGGTGGCTTGGTGGGTGGTGAAAGCCAACGGCCTGCGCCCCCGGCGCGGCCACGGCCGAGGGCCCGCGCCGCAGGGCCGCGGCCGCCTCCCGCGCGCCGGCGGCGCGGGAGGCCCGCTGCAGCAGGTCGAGGAGCGGCTCGCCCGGGCCGAGGGCCTCTCGCCGGCCCCCCCCAGAGGCCAGGGCGGAACCTCAACGGCGTTTCTCGTCTTCGTTCTGTGCTCGTTCTCCGTATCGTTTTGTTCTCGTTCTCCCTCGTTTTCCCTCGTTCTCGTGTTCGTTCTGTTCTCGTTTCCCCTATCGTTTTGTTCTCGTGTTCCCTCGTTTCCCCTCGTTTTTTTGTCTTCCATCTGCCTTTCTGCCTCGTTGGCCCTCGTTCTCGTGTTGTTCCCGTTGCCGTTTTTTGTCTTCGTTGTCCCTCGTTTGGTCTTCAGTCCGCCTCTGCCGCAGCACGAGGTCGAAGCGAAGGCGGCCCACGAGATCGCCCAAACAGCGTCCAGGTCCAGCCCTGCCCCAGACCCCCTCGAGTCATGGCCAAAAAAATCACGGCGGCAAGCTTTTCTTTGGACGCCCGAAATGGGTACTGAAAGAATGGGCACTGTGCCCGTCCCAAGCCAACAGCGGCCGCTGTTGGGCAGGCGACCTTCTGTCTCGAATGGACACAGGCTGCGGCGGCGCGGACAGCGAATCCTGCTCAGAATGAACAGGAACTGCTGTTGGGCATTCTACCCATTCTTTCGGTACCCATTTCGGGCGTCCAGATTTTCGCTCCTCTGGGCCCTCCGCGGCTCTCGCCGGGCCTCGGGGCCGCTCACAAAGCGACCCAGGATGGAAAAAACCGGTCCCGCGGCAGGGGCCGAGACCTCCGGGGCCGACGTCACTATCGG